TTTCTCAGGTGTTCAAATACTTATGTTCAGCAGTGCAAGACAAATAAATTCTTTAAAAATCATACAATGTGATTTCCTGAATTTTTTTTTTAATTCTGTCTCTCAGAGTGGGAATGCACCTACAATGTGAATTTCAGACCCCTCCATGATTTCTAAGTGGGAGAACTTGCAAAATCGCAGGGTGTTCAAATACTTCTGTTCCTCACTGTACATTTTTAAACACGACACAATATTGTGCTTAAAATATTGATAAATTAATCAAAAGAGCTTCTACTGTAGCTGTTTTGGCTGTGAGGTTTTCAATCTTATCTGACCCTGTGTACAGATTGACAAGAGGCTGAAGTCTCTGGAGCGTTGTCAGTCTTTGGAGGAGATCCAGCGTCTCTATGAGTCTGCAGATTTTGAATCTGTCGTGCGCCTGCTGCAGCCCACTCTTAATTACGACGGCAGGAGTAAATCTCTGGAATTTGTGAGCTCAGCACCAGAGCGGCCAGCTCAGCTGATGTTACTGCAGGTTAGCTATACTACAATAATATCAGTTGAATCTGTAAAGTGTTTAAAATGTGTGATTGTTGACACTTGTCATTCTTAACTCTCTGGCCTAGAACTCGCTGTTGAAGCTGCAGGACTACCAGCAGTGTTTAGAGTACAGCGAGCTGGCTCTGAATGAAGCTCTGCAGCAGCTCAACTCTGCTTCAAATAGCTCTCCCCCTAGTAAGGAGGAGTGGGTCAGCATCATTGGAAAGTTGCTGGATGGCATTGAGGTCTGCTTCACCAAAAACTCAGAGCTTCTCAACAATGTCCCTCACTCTAGTATGGCTCGACTGGCTAACAACCTAATTCAGGTTAGAAGAGTGCTAAAGACTGGTTTTCCTGAAATATACAGTTAAACTAAAATAAGCCTTTGTGAAACTTTTGATTTATTGTGTGGTTGCTCTTTCCAGCTGATTGATCTTAGCATGAGCATTTCTGACGATCCCAAGGAGCCTTATTTCTTCTCAGTTCTGCCTTGGATTATCCTGTATCGCATTATCAAACATGAGGAGGCTGCATTTGACTGTATGCTTCATCAGCATATGTCTGTAGGGGATGATGAAGGTTTGTTGACTGCCTTCAGTTTTTCCTTGGATGGGTATGCCACGGTAGTTGTTACACTGAGTAACCCTATCAAGTCTTATTTTCAGATGACTCAGACACTCCCATGCTGCCCTCCTCTCTAATGCTTCTGAATACAGCCCATGAGTATCTTGGCCGTCGCTCCATGTGCTGCAACTCAGATGGAGCGCTCCTCAAGTTCTTTGTAAGTTTATTTATTGACCTCTCTCTGTAAATAGTTTGTTCTGACCAGTTTAATCTGTGAATGTACAGCTTGCATATATGCCTCTTTAATTGGAGAGTAAATGGAAAGGTTTGAATAATTATTCTGTATGTTGCTCATTCTTGCTTTTAAATCTTTGCTTTTAAAATTGACCGTATACATATTTCTGTGTTAGTGTGACTGCATTAATTTTTATGAACCACTCAAACAGTTTGGCAGAACATCTTTCATGGTGTGTTTCTCCAGGTTCAAGTTTTGGAAAAAGAGTTTGCAGCCTCTTCCAACAGTGACTCTCATCCCTACAAGGAAGAGCTGGAGACGGCCTTGGAACAGTGCTTTTTCTGCTTATTTGCCTACCCCAGTAAGAAGAGCAAGGCTCGCTACCTGGAGGACCACTCGTCTCCACAGGTCAAACAGTCTCTCTTAAAGTTATACCATTAATGTAGTGTATTGTGATATGTTGCTTAAACTTGAATTGAATCTGCCAGTCAGAACTTAATCACTTTAGCTACACAGTACAACATGCAATATCAGCTAAGCTTGCGTCACCTTTATCAGGGGTGTCCCTATGTTTTCAGACGGCTTAGGCGCCTTGTTTATTTATTTATTTATTTATTTATAGTGGGTGTGGGGCAAAATTATTCGAAGGAAATTCAAACATATTTATGAAATGCTAATGTATCTTTGCTAGTTCAGTTGACCTATTGATTAGCTACCTTATCAATTTCTATACTTGTAAAATAGGCAGCATTCTGCTACCTCTGTTATTGCTGTTCACATAAATTACTCCCCTACAAAGTTATAGGCTTCTTCTTGTATTCTTAGAGGAGGCAGCTAAAAGTACCCCTTTGCCTATCTGGCAGTAGGCTATGTTGGGTTACATCTCTCTATTTTTGTCCTCCCCATCTACATACATGAGAGGGTCAGAATATTAAATACACCTCTGAATATAATGTAGTCCAGTACAACACCACCTTTAACTATGACCTCAATAATAAACATATAATTGAATTTATACATTTATGACAATTTCTCCAAACATTCTGAGCTTCATAAAGACAGATGTTGAGGCTGAAGTGCTGCATTGAAGTGCATACAACTTTACAGGCATACCTTATAAGTGGACAATCAGTCTTTTATTTAATTGAAAAGCTAAAACAAATAACTCCAAATGTGGCTGAGCTGTTATTTAGATGATAGCCAAATGGTGGTGAAGAGGCGGTGAAACAGTGAAGAGGTGGTGAAAATTGCTCAAGGCTTTGACTAATTGGTATGAGTTTGGGCATGTATTAGCAAACCTACATAAAGCAAGTGCCTGGACCAGAATGCTGATGACACAGACATGTACCGTTACTGATGCTCACAAAACGGAGGAAATCTGCTTTATGCAATAATGTTGTTTTGTTGGCTTAAGGGTTGCAACAGTATGAGATTTTCATGGTATGATAACCGTCTTAGAAAATATCACGGTATTACCAAATACAGTATTTCACAATTACTATTATTATCAGGTACAACAACCCTTAAGGGTTAAAGAAATGAAATCAAAAGAGTGCTTGTTATGGTGAGTATGGCGAGCTGGATTGCAGCACTAGATTGACCCTAAAGAATATCCAGAATTATAAACATGATAAAAAAATTACATACCACATATTATATAACAAAAGGATGTTTGCACCAGTAGCAGATGAAGTATTCATGTCCTTTACTTAAGTAAAAGTACTACTGTCACACTGTAAAAGTAGCCTATTTTGTTGCAGTACAGTACAGCATTGAAAATGTTAAGTAAAATTAGGTATTATCATGAAAATGTGCTTAAAGTATTAAAATTATTAATAGGCTATTCAGTGCAGAAAATGGTTTTGTTATACAGTAGATTATTTTATTACATTAACAGCCTGTCACTCATGCACTGATGTAAAAGCAGGACTTGACTTGTAGTTGGCTGAGGTGGAGCTCTGCTGAACTATTTTGTATCCAAGTGCAACTATTGATTATTTTCATTACGGATTAACCTGCTGATTATTTTTTCCATTAATCGAATGACTGGTTTGTAAAACAGTAGTGAGAAGTATGCCGTCACAATGCTCTAAACAATTATCAGAATAATTGCTAATTTACTGTAGGTGCACGACAGCACAGCCAGATCAGTCCTGCCAGTGCCATCGCACGCACGCACGCACACACACACACACACACACACACACACACACACACACACACACACACATACACAGTTATGTGAACCAGCAAAGTTTGTGTGTGTTTCTGGGGTCAGATCGGGATCAGTGCGAGTCAGAGATCAGCGAACACACAGCCAGTATGGAAAATTATTGGTAGTGCATCTTATGTCTAACGTTTATATGTTCACGTTTTATTGTTTGGGATTAAAATTATAAACAGGACACACGCTCTGACCTGTAGAGAGAAATAGTGTTGCTCTTGGAAGTGTTCATTTTTTGGTCTGTCCAGAGTAATCCTGCACTGCTTTCTTTTGTGGTGGATGGAGTTTGGCGACAGGCCATCAGCCTCCTTCTCTCTGCCATTTGTCCACTGCATGTGGCACCCATTGCGGAGTCTGACAGGCAGTCGGGGAAGAAATGTGCACACGCATTGCTTTCTTTCCTTCAGTACCAGTAATAAGCAAATGTGCATGGTATGATAACATACCATGGTGTACTGTGAAACTGCTATACCTCTGCAACCCTAGTTGGCTTGCAAGGTGAACACATCTGGTGTCATTGAAATAAACTGAGGCTGCAAAATAGCATTAATGGCATAACAAAATTAATTTAGAGTAATATGAGAAATGTGAACACATTTAAATAAATTACAAACAATATTCCTGCAAAGTTCTGGTACACAGTACTTTACTCTCTTGCTTATATTTAACATTTGGTGCACTCTTCTGTATTTGGAGTTTTTTTTTTATTCTGCTAAGAAACTCCTAAGATGCTAAATATGTTTAGTTAATGTAGCATTCCTTTACCTTAGGAGCTATTGTGAAAATCAGAGACAGTGTCCTAATCCAATGACACCGAGAATTTAACACTAGAGTGACGCCTCACACCAGGAGGCTTTATGGTTACAGGCCCGAGCCCCTTGTGTTTTTGTAATGAGTGTCTTCAGCCACCAGGTGGGTGTCGAGTGCATTAAGATGATTGGCGTTCAAACCTCTTACAACTGATTTGCTGTGTTATAGTCTAATACAGTGTACTATGACGCCTCTGTTTTGCAGGTTGAGCTACAGTGGAGTGACACCCTCTTCATGTTCCAGTATTTCAAACCAAAGTCACTGCCTGAGTTTGACAGCTATAAGACAAGCACAGTGTCTGCGGAGCTAGCCAATCTGCTGAAGAGGTTTGCTGGCATTGTCCCCCCAAGTGACTCGCCCATCCTCACCATGGATGAAGTGGCAGCCTACATTGAGCACATGACAGAGAAGGTCAGTCAGTGGGCTAAAGCTTTTCTTCATTTCCACTGTGGCTTTTGAGTCTTGGTCTGCCTTCATGTCACTTTGATTTTTATGTCCATGTTTGAACTGAGAACCATGACTATTGAAATGTTAAATTAAAATTTTTTTTAAGGCCCCCTGCCTTCCTGAGGGTAGTGCTCCTACACCTCCAATCATTAATGAGATCTACTACCTGCTGGCTGATTACCATTTCAAGAACAAGGAGCAGTCCAAAGCCATCAAGTTCTACATGCATGACATCTGTGTGTGTCCCAACAGGTAGCTCATTTCTCTGCAGTACTGTCAATGCTTGTGCACATTTCAAAATATAATTGTATTATTTTGAAGGTGAGATTAAACTTTGTTTACGATCCGAATATTAGCAAATAAGTGTGCACAATGTCTGGGGTTGTATTTTACAGTAATACAAAGAGTAGAGTGACATGGTATCTTTCCTCAGATTTGACTCCTGGGCAGGTATGGCTCTAGCTAGGGCCAGCCGGATACAGGAGAAGCTCAACTCCAATGAGCTGAGAAGTGACGTTCCTATATGGAAACACTCCCAGGCAGTGCTTAACTGCTTTAAGAGGGCACTGGAGATCGACAGCTCCAACCTTTCTCTGTGGATCGAGTATGGTACAATGTCATATGCGCTGCATTCGTTTGCTTCACGGCAGCTCAAGCAGTGGCGCAGCGAGCTCCCTCCAGAGGTGGTTAAACAGGTGAAGCATGTATTAACATGACTAGAAACATCTTGCTGCTCAACTGTAATCCTTGTCAGTTTATGTTAAGTCCACTTTTATGTCCAGTTTTTCACATGTGCACTAAACAGCAATCACACACTGTCACTTTTGCTTGTTATCTGTGAAAATTTGTTTTAGAATAAAAATTGATCTTTTGGCTTTGAGCTAAATTACTCATGAAGGATCCACTGTGCGTGTGTGCGTGTGGTCTCAGATGGAAGAAAGGAGGGACTCCATGTTGGAGACGGCGCTCCAGTGTTTCCAGGGTGCTTCCCGTTGTGAGGGTGACAGTGATGAAGAAGAGTGGCTCATTCATTACATGCTGGGGAAGATAGCAGAGAAACGCAAGCTGCCTCCAGTGGAATACCTGCAGTTATACAAAAAGGTAAACATCTGTGGAGACTTCAGGCTACAAATTTTATTTTTACCTGATGTCAGTCAAGTAATTCAGTCAGTGCTTTAGATTTAATAATTAACTTTTGAACTCAGTTCTGTTGATTGGAGTCAGTGGTACAGGATATATTCAGTTATTTAGGTTGGTTTTTGTTTGTTTTTTACTGAACTGGTGATCGATTCTGGTTAGCACTGTCGCTAAGTACTGCTCTCTCACAGTGCAGTTACAGAAACACAGGGCTTAAGCTTAAAAGGCGATTTGGAGCACACCCCTTAACACAATATTATATATAATGCAGTGTGACTTGCATACAGTCTCTATGATTTTCATATAATCAGTCTTCTGAAGGTTTAAGTCTTTGTTAAATAAGATTATATGCTTCTGCACACCATATGTTTTAATTAACCAGAAATGTTCCCTACTAAAAACTGATAATTTCCCTGTATTTAAGTGTAATGGACAAATTTTTTTGGAAGTCAGTTAAGCAGAAATTTTCAATGTAGCCATCATGATGAAATCCAGGGAAATAACATCCTTGGCTGAAGATAATAATTCTTCAATACTGCATTGATTGCAGGCATTTTTTTTCTGCTCTCCCTGGAGTTGTTTCATAATCTGCCTACAGAAACAAAGATCACTGCTCTTCCACCCTCGCAAGATGTTTTTTTTTTTTTCCTAGCATGAACAATGTATGGAGTTAGTCATAGCATTGTTGTTGTGATTAGTTCAGCGGAGGCAGAAGAACCTGTATGAAACACTGGGTCTTGGAGGTCATCTGAAGATGAGGGGGGCACTGTGAATGTAGTGAACCCTGATGTCAGCACAATTACCTCTCTTCTAATCCTTATTTTACTCCTTCCCTCCAGATTACTAGAGGTTAGACTACAGTAGCTTCAGCAAGTTGTTAGACCCCTTTTTACACACTTTGTGGTGTTGATTTAATTTTATATGGATGGCCATTTGTCTTCGACAGTCTACACTAAATAACTCATCGTGCCAACTGCCATTAAAAGACGAAGAAGAGTGGGTGTATTTACACATTTTCCATGGTTCTTCTTCACTCTGTCTTAACAGTCAAAGTGATGCGTGAGCAAACGTTAAATCTGAGATTTTTGATAAAGCTCAGTGTAGAAATCATTCAGGTAGCAGCTTTCCATTTCCATTTAAAATGTCAAACAGCAAGAGGATATCAGCTGTTGCTAAATGATGTTAATTCAATGACTTAAATTGATGATGAGCAAAAATGAAACCACTGTTGTTGGGTTTCTGAGCTCGCTGCAAGAGGATGGGAAACAGGCCTCAACACATCACCGCTGTCAGCACTCAGGCCAAGGTTGTTTATTGGCTAAAAGAAGCGTTGCTCTGTAACATTACTGAATACTAGGTGGACTGAGTGTTTCTGTAGTTCCATCGACTCCACCAGCTGATCTCACATCAGCTTCAGGACTCAGAATCTCCCAGCTAAAGGTTTATCCTCATCATGTCAGTCATTTAAGCAGGTCATCTTTTAGTTCTGAATCAGCACCTTCAATATTTGGAGCAAGTAGCTTTTGTAAAATAAGCTGTGCCAAAGTCAGTTGATGTGTTAACATGATATTTTCAGCTGCTATGTATGCAGCATATTTATTTTATGTATACTGAGCATCTTTGGTAGAAATATTTTTTGGGAATGAATCATTAACATTAAGTAGGCTACCACTTTTTTTATTTTTTTTATTCAGGAACACAAGTGCCTTGAAAAATAAATGTCCACGTTGAGTTCTGCCCTCACTTTATTAACTTGTTCTCCTAGTCACTTGCTTTAGTAGTATCTTACAATACTTCTAAGCAGCCTGGGTGCTATGCACGGCTTCTTTTCTTTGGTTTTAGGTGCAGAAAAAGCTGTCACCTTTTAAGACCATCACCAGTTTGCACCTGTGTAATTTTTGATTTGCAAAAGATTCTAGAACCATATTTTCACTTTCTTTATGGGAAAAAATGTTTTTTGTTCATTTAAATTCAAATCTACAATAAAATGTGCAAACAGTGAAGGGGTCTGAATGCTTTCTGGAGTGAACTGTATATCACCAGATGATTGTTTTGGGTTGTTGATTCTCTTGTGTTTGTATTTACAGGCTGCACACTATTTGCATGAAGAAGCTGCCAGGTACCCCCGGAAAATCCATTACCATAATCCTCCTGACCTGGCCATGGAGGCCCTGGAGGTAATGGTATCTATTTGCTAGATGTCTAGTTTCATTGATGCAGTCTTACATAATATAACTGTGTGAGAGAATTTATATTTAAAGTCTTATCCAGACACCTGTGATACAATGAACTTCCTTTTCTAACTTTCTTGTAGTTGCATTTCCGCTTGAGTGCCACTATTCTTAAACTACTAGAGGCTGCCGAACCTGATTTGGACCACGAGCTGTTGTTTAGTTTGCTGGTTGAGGCAGCTACAGGGCCATTTGCGAGGGGTGAAGAGAAGAGTATGCCAAGCATGCCAAGGTCCCATGAAAAGTAAGCTATATAAATATAACCTAGCAAGAGTTATGAAGCAGCATTTGATCTTAATGGCCGATAATTCGTTCTCAACATTGGTTTTGAATCACCACAGGGAGAAACCCCCCTCCATGATGGATGAAGACTTCAATTGCTCATCAGTTTGCATGGGCAACATCCACAGTTCCCCCTTGCCTTCAGTTGCCACCCCAGGTCTGACATCCCCTCCTTACGTGGCCACACCGTTTGACCATGATTACGCCAAACGCAAAACACTTCGACGGCAACAGTGGCAGCAGCAGCGGCATGAGGAGCAGCAGGCTGATGGTACAGTCCCAGTCCTAGACACTGTCTCTGAGGTTGGGCTTTTTGCCTTTCTGCACTGGGACAGGAAGCCCGCTGGGGAGTGCTCAGATTGCTAATCACCATGCTTAATAGCTTTGGTTTCAGTTACAGTGATTCAAATGCACTGGGTGATTGGGATGTGGTGAAATGGGCAATATGGCTTCTGATTATTTGACAAATATGCTATGCTTGATAAAACAGAAATGCTGAAGCAAGTAGATCTGAAGATTGAATTTTGCAGAGTTCATTAAGGCCTGTGTGTGCTGAAATAACATCCCTTTCTAGCTGCTGCTTTCTTTTCTTTTCTTTCCAGTCATCTCTCTTCTGTTATAATTGTTGTTTTGTTATAACTTCCTTAATCTTATAACCTCATGAAGACAACATCTGTGCACTATTGAAGGTGTGTGTGTGATGTTTTTTTTCCCCCGCCTCAGTCAGCTGCTGTCAATTGGTAACACACTAAAGGAGCTGCATTTTCCAGTCAGTGGTTTGCATTGTCATGTCATTTTCACTGATAACAAATTTATCAGCAAGCACTTTATTATTAAACCAGGGGATTTATTTAGCTTAAGATCTCTTGGTAGAGGCCCTGGAAACAACACCAAGAATGAAAACAAAGATAAGACAGAGCAAACCAATAAGAAACTATTTTAGACATCTCTAGAAATGACAGTATGAGTTATAGACTGGAGAGACAAATAGGGATGCTGGTTTCATGTGTTCAGAGCAGTCAGGTACTCTAAATGACAGTTTTGATAATCAGGAATGTTTTTAGTGTTATATAACTTACAGAAGTGGACTTTTCTCTTGGTTCTGGATATGAAAATAGGAAGCGTGTGTTTTTGAACAAAAGACTTAATAATTGCATGCAATAATGTGCCAGATGTATATTACTGCTTTCAGTAATGTGCATCCAGTACAGTGTGTACAATGAATTCTACAGGTGATTTTTTTTCTATAAGCTTGCAATCATAACTGTCTTGGTTTTGATTTCAGAAATGTTTTACATATACCCAAGAAAGCTTTAGTGGTATGTTATTGTGTCACCAAGAGATTAAAATTGACAGAAAACAGTTGCCACATACTTGTGTTAAATCAGCCTCTGTTTCAGTTTTGGAAATTGGAGTCAATGTTTTAATTAGTTGTAAGTCTCTGCAGGGGATCGAGAAACAGAAGCTGAGATGCTGTTTGATAAAGCCATCCTGGCGTCAGTGACATCTGTTCACCCACCCATGTGTCATGTTTAGCTTGAATGTGCAAATAACGCAGCCATATTGCCCACGTTGCCAGCTTGTCACCTTATCCAGATTCCTGCCTACCTACCTGCCTACCTGCCTGCTACCTCTTTGCCTGCTTGCTTTTACCACCTGCTTTGCCATTTATATGCATGTAGTTCTAATGGGGTGAATGTCTTCACAACTGGACAAAGTCTGTTCCTTTATCACAATCCACTAAACTGTCTGGTGTATCGTGTGGTCTCATTTTATGAGTTTGGTGTGGGCTTAAATTGACAAATTCCCTGGAGATATTTCAAAATCTTGCCAGATTTATGTTTTTGCTATTTCCCACTAATTCCATATAATTTACAGTTATGGCCCATTAGTGTGAAAATGCCAAGTCAGAATGAATGCGGCTGGCCTATTATTGGCACACGACTGTGAGAGTGAAATCAGAACATACCCCACCATGCACATGCTTGCTTGTAGGTGTCCAGTCTCTTTGGCTTGAGTCTTGCTTAAAGCACATCAAGGTAATAAGTGTAATAAACTGATTCAGACTTGCATTTATCAAATTATGTTTTACTATTTGCTCTTCTTCATGTAAACCTTATAAATATTCTTTTCTGATTTACTTTTTTGCCATTGATTTTCTTTATGTTGCTGCTCAATTGACAGTAAGAGGTCAGTTATTAAATGCGTCTGAATCAGGATCCACATTTTCAAAGGGAGCAGCATTAAATCTACTCAGTTGTCAAGAAAAAGCAATTGCAGATTATTTTAATGCAGATTTAGAGTTGCAGTTTTTCTTGATGATATTTTGAAACCAGCTCCCCATATCTTCAACAGCCTCACGAGAGTTTGACCATGATTACTGCCTGCCCAGGTCTCCAATGTGGCTGGCTTCCCTGAATGGTACTGCTCTTCAAACCCACCAAACTCTTTAAGAGGCTGTGTTTTTAATCCGATAAGAAGTGCATTCCTGTAGGAAGCAGTGAATACACTATTGTCAGGTTACACACATCATACAGTAGCATAGGAATTTTGCTGTTAACTCATGGCTGAAACTTTTGAAAGGTTCCATGTGTGCATTATTCTCTGAAAAAGCAAGAACTTGTTGCCCCCTTGATTATGTTATTTTCAGCTCCCTGCCAAGAAATGTTTATTTTTGCTGAGGCTGCACAACACGGCAATTAAGAAGAATGCTGGCATTTTAGTTTTGGACCACTTACAAAAACAAACCATCTCTAGTTTTATAACAATGAGTCATTAGTGATGCACTAATAAGGATTTGTGGCTCAATGCCTATTTTTGTTTCATAATTTTATTAATTTTTTTCTCCCACAGTACAACAGGGAATATTTGGCATTTAAAAACAGGTCAACCAACTAACAGCTTGAAAAAGGCCTACACAGCACACTGTTAAAGTATGCAGTTACACATCCGGGATACCTGTTGGAATTTACGCAGTACTGTGATTTCTGTTTTTTGACCAGTGACAGATTGTTCCACCTGAAACTGATTTTTTTTTTAAAGCAGCATGTGTGTATCCATGATATTCATAAGACTGAAGTGGTTTGTATCTGACTGTGGCCATGCAACTGGCAGCATGACCTGTGATGTTTTTGTTTTTTGTCTTGTTTTTATTATTTTGGCAGAGTGCAGTCAGGACAGTGAGGTGGTTATGCTTTCTGATTCCAACTCCACCCAGGATGGCTTCACAGATCTTGCCAGCTCACAGGACAGCAGCCACAAACCTGCCTCTGGGAAAGCCAGTTCATCATCATCAGAAAGTACAACCCCTGTGAAGGATGGGCAACCTGCATCTGAGGACACCGGTACATAGCCATTCAAATAATGGCTGTAGTCACCTGTACTGTTACATTGTTGGACTTGAATGAAATGAATCACATATGCCATTTGTATTTAAATGTGCACAAAAAGCTTCAGTCAGATGCATTGTCTCCATTTATTTTGTTGGTTCATTTTAAGCTTTCAGAAAAGCTGAACTAGACTGAACTAAACTTGATTCAAATCCTACTTCAGCTTCCCATGAAGAGCGTATTGGCATCCAGACTGAAGAGAAAGTTATCCAGGAAGTAGTGGATGTTGTGGTGGAGATACTCCCTGAGGCTGCAGCCCCCAAGGTCTCTGCAGACCCTTGTCCTCATCCTGTACCTGTCTCAACCACCCCTCCAAAGTCAGCCCCATCTCAACAGGCCGCTCCTCAGACCCCAGCTGGTGAGGGAAAGCGGAAGCCTGAGCCCCATGTTGAGGTGATTGAGGTGCCAAAGGCCCTTCCTGCAGAGCGTGCTGACCAGAGACGAATGCTGGTGGAAATGTGTGTCCATGCTCTCTTCCGCTGCCTCAGCCGCTTCCCTCAGCACTACAAAAGTCTCTACCGACTGGCATTCTTCTACACCAACAGCAAGACTCATCAGGTTAGTCCACCCCTATGAAGTGGCATTAGTCCATTCTCACTGCATTTCATAAATCACGTCATCCAATAAACCTACGCCATACACCTACAGGCAGTGTCCCCAGCCACTGATGGTAACCTTTACAAAAGATGAGACTTCCTGCAATTTCCTCAAGCCACATAAACTGTTTGCACTGATTATTTTTGTGACAACCACATCAGCTCAGGGACGGTTATATTCCCATTAGTTTCTTGGATTTTCTTGTGGACCTGTGAGCTTTGCAGTGATGCACGAGTTGCTGAAACAGCCTGTGTTGGCTATAAGGCTCTGTGGGCAGAGGTGTGTGGGGGTGGTTGAGCAGTGTGCTCTCAGCCAGTTTGGCACAGGGATGTTGTGTTGAGCTTTACTGTGGTGGTATCCTTCTGTCAGCACTCCGTTTGTCAAACCTGTTTTATACAGCCTTTGTCTCAGTAAGAGTGAACTGGGCATGGAAAGATCCAGGCTCTTTTATATTCATTTGATCCCTACATACTGCTATGTGCAGCTTCATTAGGTTCTAGCTCCCAGTGGTTGTGTCTTCCTAATATTTTTTTTGTTCCATATTCTGTTAGTGAAAAAAGGTCATTTCCTTGAAGCTCAGTTAAATGTTTAATAACCTCTGGCTCAGGTCTACAGAATTGGTAAAGTTTCCCTGTTTTTGCCTTCAGTGGCGTTTTAGTACCCAGGAGGAAAGAAAATGCACCTTGGCAATGGCTTGATGCCACATATTGACACAGGTCGGTTTGCTGCCCTCACAGCCCAACACATACAGGGTTAAATGCCTCTGTCCCTTTTGTTTTCAGCTAAGCAACTCCACTCACACTGACTGTCCATCTTTTTCTTCATTCCAAAGATGTCCGTAGTTTCATGCTATAGGCCAGTGGGATTGTGAAAGAGGACATGAAGCGGTATCAGCTTGCTATCTTTTTTAGACAGTGCATTGGTGTAGGCACTGATTCATGAGTCACCTGGTGTGTGTGTGTGTGTGTGTGTGTGAGTGAGAGAGAGAGAGAGAGAGAGAGAGAAACCAAATGATCATAAATTGCTTTTTTCTGCATATCTGTTTGTGCCCCTTCACTTACTTTGAAACCACATTAGGAATCAAAGGTTCAGTGTGCATATGGGCATGTGAATATTGTTTTAAGACAACCATGAAAAAATGCGACTCTGTCCTTGTTGTGTTTGTTGTCCTAGAAACCCCAGGTGTATTGTAACAGCTCAGATAAAAAGTGCACTAACACTGATATGTCCTGACTTTCCTTGAGTTTGAGAAAACTGCTTCATGATTACAACAGTGTATATGTGACTGTTTTGCCAGTAGTTTTTACACAACCCCCAGCCCTCCCATGTTCCAAATAAGTCTATTTGAATTTGGAATTTGTTTTTACGAGGTCAAACAGGGAACTAGGAAACTCTGGTGTCTATCTGACCCCAGACATAATGTCACTGGATACCATGCTGTAGGCTATATTTCTTTGTCTGGAAATGATTTTTTGTGACAAAAAGAAGCTATATTTGTTCATGCATAGTCCAGAGAACATAGAAAATAAGAATTATTTCCTTATTTTGCATAGTTATAGCCCAAGCTGTATGTACTGGAAATTTAGCTAATAGTTAATTTATTCAACAATAATCCTAATATGGATCCTTTGGATTTTTTTCTTACATTTTACAGTGGAAAGCAAACTTTCAGAGCACATAATAATACATATATATTGGGATCCATGGGACACCAAAAGATGAGGAACAAGCTACTGTCAACAAAGCACAAATGTGTTGTAGCTTGCCATCACTCAAAATCTTTTATGAATGTGCCAGCGGTGCTTGTGAGTGTTACCTGACCATAGAGTGTTAATTAAATAGCCCAAGTTAATCGGTGGAAGGCAGAGAAAGTAAAAAGAGACAAGACAGAGTGAGAGTTCAGGAGGTTGGAGCCTGCATAAATGAATGAACTCACCATTTCCTGGACCTGCTGTTGTTTGCGATTATGTGTAGACCCTGGAGAGAATACATCTGGCAAACCCAGAGCTGTTCTTATTAATGGCCTGTAATTTATCCTTTAAGCATTGGTTATTGGTCTACTAATAGCCTGTTACTGAAGGTACAAGTTACAGCTTATAAACTTTTACAGAGGGTGGCCTTTTAGCAGGTGGTACAAAAATTTTGATTTCAAAATAAAAGCTAATTTTCTTTTATCTTAAGATAAATAGATGGGCACTGAAGAGTGCAGAGCTGTATGCAGACTAT